AAGGCTGTGGGGCTAATGGAATGATGTCACAGGTCAGCCATGATATAAGCAAATGACTGAACAAACTTGATGGGCTGAATGGCCTCCTCCTACCCTTATGAGCTAAGTGGTCCCTCTCAGCCGTTCCCTCTCAGTTGATAAAATGGTTGAATCCAGCTCACTCAGGGCCAAATGGATTGTGGAGAGCATCAAATCTGGATCCAAGACAGTTTTCCGTTCTCTAAACCAAGGACAGATGGAAAACCTTTAGGTGTCTCTGGCCTACTTTCTACCTGCCACTCAAACAAAGATTATTTTTATCTTCCCTGAGCCAAAAGGGAGACTCTCTTCAGCAAAGCGTGAAAATATTTCCTCTTTACGATTAAATATTTCTCTCGGAGGATTGGAGGCCCCTCTCCTCCTCCTGTAGTAGATCATCCGGCTCACACCATCCTCCCCACACCCCTCAAAAGGCCTGACTCTAGAGAAATGTCAGGCACCTCTTGCTGTCTCTGCTGTTCTTTGGCAGGTGTTGAGAGGTGCTGGAACTGAAGTCATCTCAATCTGTTTTCTCACAGTGAAGGCTGGAGGTGGGGGTGGGGCCACGGTGAGGCTCCTGGGGTATCAGAGAGGTCGAGGGGGTAAGGATGTGAGTGGGAAGTGAGGGGCGTTTGGTCAAGGGATAGGAGTCTGGTCGGAGGGTGTGTGGGGCGAGGGCGGTGAGGGAGGTGACAGTGTGTAGGGTGTGTAGGGTGAAGGTTTTGAGGTGTTGAGGGGGTCCAAGGTGGGGGAGGTGAGGGGGTGTAGGGTGAGGGGCGAGGAGGTAGGCAAGGGGTGGTGTGTGGGCTGGAGGCTGTTATAGATTTGTTTCCATATGACCCCTTATTTCCTGCAGAAAGGCCTTGAGGTTCCTTTGTGGGGAATAGCCATGACATGAGAGCAGTTGTCAGATGGCATTAGTCAATGGAATGTTCTGGAAGCAGCTTTCTGATCCAGAAGTGTAGGAACCATCAGCTGACAATGAAGAGTGGGACTGATTGAGGAGACTCAGCTGATGTATATTCTCCAGGTTTGGCCAACCATGAGGTAAGGGGCAAGGGGTCATGGTGCTGAGGTCAAGGGTGAGGGGTCACTGTGCTCGGATCGGGGGAGAGGTCACAGTGCTTGGTTCAGGGTAGAGAATCAGTGTGGTCAGGGCAGGGGTGAGGGGTCACTATTCTCAGGTGAGGGGCCAGGCTGTGGCCTGTCATTTTGTCCTTGTCTCTCGCTAACACACTTCCTTTCTCTTTAATGAGTTCAAAGATATTTCCTTCCACTGAAAATGCCTCAGTGAGGCTCAAGAACAGAATTCTGAAACTGAGGCTCCTACACCTGCTGTCCCTGGCTGATGTCAAGGATCCTGGGTGACCTGACCTTGCGAGAGAGCGTTCTCCCTGATGTCCAGCTCAAGATTTATCCCAGAACCTACACCGAAACCCGATAATCTCATCCTTGATCCTTCAGGAAAACAGAGTGATCAGCAGGTACTGGACGTCTCTCCCACTGTCATCATCAAGTCTCTGTTCTCATGAACGTCAATAAGAGGTGACCCTCCAACATGGCCACACTGTCAATAAATGGGCAGCACTCTCATCTAGGAGTTCACAAGTTGTAAGTTCAGATCCCACTCTGGGAATTTAAACACTGTACTCAATCCTCAACCAACATCCACAAACAAACCATCCGGGATCCCTTTGCTGTTGGCAGGAGCTTGCTGTGCACAAAATGGCTGCCCTGTTGCCAAGGTTACTGCAGAGACCACCCTCTGGGAGTGCGCTGAAAAAGCTTTGGGCTGTCCTTTGGTTGTGCAGGTTGCTATATAAAAGCAGGAGCTGTGGGTTTGTCACCAGGAGCTCATTATCACAGGGACTGCAGGACACAGAAGGAGGCTGTTTGGCCCACTGGGTCAGCAGCCCGAAAGAGCATGGTGACCCAGAGCCACCCTGCTGCCTTTTCCTGAAACCGCATATTGTTTCCGAGACCGTCACTCACAGTCTTCCAGCGGCTGCTTCTGATTGCTACTACCTTGGCCCAGCGACAGAGACAGAGAGACTCTCTGGGGTTGCTACGGTTCGCCTCCACTTCAATGCCGTTTTTAACCAGAGCTCTGCAAGGTGGCCACTCTGACAGGAGTTTCATGCAGGAGCCAAGAGTAGCTCCTTCTCTGCATGCGGAGACATGACTGTGCAACATTGAATAGAGAGATACAAACCCTCCAAAAGTGCAGCCCATCTTGTTTTAATAGAGCTCTTTCACCACTGCTATGAATGCTGGGATGACTTGGCCTCCATTGCTCACTTCTGTCCTCCATTGAGTGAGCTCAAGAAAAAACCCCAATGCATTCCATAGCCAAATGGGTTGTGAATGGATTTTGGGAAAGGCAAGTACATGTATCGTCCTGGCAGAGGATAGGGACTTTTAGACTGGTTAGTGGAAGCTTGGTATTTGTAAGGAGTGAGCAGTCAGTCTCCACTTCCCAGTCTGAAAACAACAAATGCTGGAGATGACAGCAGGTCAGACAGCATCCACAGAGAGAGATAACATTTCCAGTCTAGACAACTCTTCATCAGAGCGGCTGTCATCTACATCGAAAAGCATTGGCTTGCTCTCTCTCCATGGATGTTGTCTGACCAACTGTGATCTCCAGCATTTGTTGCTTTCAGTATAATTTTATTACATATATATTTCAAAAATGTGCTTTATTCATTAAAAAAATTTGGACATAAATATATAGATATAAAAGCAGTTCGGTTCTACGCAGTTGCATATCAAGTAAATACACAAAACATTGGAGTTTGATTATCCACAAAACTAAAGACATCTCTTACACCTACAATACTAACATTTAAGTATATTTGACACACTAGGAGGGTCCAATAACTGAACAGACTCCAGAATCTATAGTAATGAAAACCAAAAGAACTGTGGATGCTGTAAATCAGGCACAAAAACAGAAGCTGCTGGAAAAGCTCAGCAGGTCTGACAGCATCTGTGAAGAAAAAATCAGAGTTAACGTTTCAGGTCTGGGTTCTGAGGAAGGGTCATTGGACCCGAAACGTTAACTCTGATTTTTCCTTCACAGGTGCTGCCAGACCTGCTGAGCTTTTCCAGCAACTTCTGTTTATGTTCCAGCCTCTACAGTAACTTACTCCTCCACTTCCAAGTCTGTTTCATTCTCATTCTGGGCTCAGTATCTCGTGAGCAGGCCCTTTGGTCGGTGTGACAGCACTGATTTTTGAATCAAAGCTTTAGGAATGTTATGTACCAGACCAAACCCCCTCAAAATATATTCAGGAGATGGCCTAGACTCTATTTTTTTTTTGTCTTATTTTAAAGTGCTCGGCATTGCATTCTGGCTGCAACTTGATTGGTCAATCAGGCTTGAAGCAAAACACACTTTACTTATACACTATCGTTAAAATACAAACAAAAGAAAGAAGAAATTAGAACAATAACTCTATTGGAAAACTTAACAGAATAATAGATTATTTAACTACTAAACAGTAACTGTTCCAATATAGAAACATCCCATAAACACACACTTGGCAAAGGCAGATTCAGTGAAATAGATTGCTCACAGGTAATTCTCCCGTTCAGGAGGAAAAACATCAAGAGGACACTTTGAAAGAGAGAGTACCAGGGAGAGATGTACTGCAACTTCCAAACCCAGCTTCAAGAACCCAGCAACTGCTACTGAAAAGCTAAAACTAAAAATCCTGGTTCTGTGGGAGCTTGACCCCACCCAGTCAGGCTGCTTCTATTGTTCTGAATTTAAAAAGTAAAACAAGGCCTCACAAGCTGTTTACTTAATTGGCTTTGGAACAGACTGCCCGGCACCTCTGTCTCAACCTTTCTTCACAAAAGAAAACAGAACCAAATATACCTCTTAAAGCCAGAGTTTCATTATAGGGATTCAGGATGAACTGCAGGGGCCTTAAGCTCAGAGGCCTGGCTGTCAGAGTACTGAGAGGGCACCGTGCTGCCAGAGTGCCATCTTATAGACAAGATGTTAAACTGAGTTCCCATCTACCCTTTCTGGAGGCCATTACTACTTTGATGATGTTCTCTTCCTTGCATTGTCACCAATATTAATCGCTCCCAAAAAGACACCACAAGGACAGATTTCTGGCCATTGTCTACACAGCTCTCAGTGGGATCTTGCTGTGTGAAAATTGGCTGCTGCCTTTCCTGTCTTACTAAGGTACGTTGTGGGCTGTGAGGTGTTCAGCGTGTGTTGAGGATGGGCAGGTGTTACACAAATAAAGTCAGCTGGCTGTGTAGGGCATCGCCCTGGTGCTCCAGAAACAACCAAAGACCTCATGGCCGACAGAGCTCCCCTGCTCAGACGGACTGACAATCAGCCAGGAAGAGCTCACTCTACAAAACTGAGCTTCGGGCCAGACTGATGGTGTGACAGAGAGTGGAACTGAGTGAGAGACTGGGCCTCAGGCTTGTCTTTCTCACCCGGGTTGGCGCACTTCCTGTCAGCTGACAATAAAGGCTCGCTCGTCGCCATGGCATCGGCAATCTCAGCCAGGGAGGCCGCAAGATGGCGGAGGGAGGAGACAAGGAAATGCCACACAGTGACAGGTAGGGGGCAATCTTCTGCGGTTGTGGATGGAGCACCTTATTGGTCAATGAGGACTCTGTGACACGTCATCCCCTTCAGGTGCACAGTACAATGCCGTAAACCCCCTGGTGGGAATGGAGCCAAGTTAAATGGAAACTGAAGTCATGGATGGTGCAAGAGATTTCTTTTCAAGTTTAAACTCATCAAAAGGGTTAAATCCAGCCAACTTGAAGCAGAACGTGCTGTGGATTTGTAAACTCTCTGAGTTCAGAAGGCTCCTATCGATCATCTTTATACCAGGTCACTGTTGCTGCTAATAGGGCTCCTGTATACAACAGTCACTTAAACCCTCTCCGAATTCTGCCTGCTAATTGCTCACTCAGAGAGCTGTGTCTCACTGCTCACACTGTGATCAATGGCGCTTAGCTGCGAACTGCAACGCCAGATTAATCCTGGCACTCGATAGACCAGAGAGTTGGAGGGAGAACGAGAGAGAGACAGAGTCGGACAAAGAGAGAGAGAGAGGGAGAGAAAAGGAAGAGGCACCGTTTTGACAAGGAGCTCCAGGAGTTTATCGATAACAAGTAGCCAATATGTCCGGGGGAAGCTTTGGATTAAGGGCCCTCAAGTCTTAATAAGCTCCTGAATTCGTGTTGACCTTGTTTCTCTAATTCATCCTTGGTAAGTTCTATTCCTCCTTAAGTCTGTTAACGGGAGGATTTGCTCCTTCTGTTTGTTAACTTGCCTTACCATCGCTGGGATCTGTTTGCAGTAAAGATATATTTAACTGACTTGCCTTGAACTATCTGTTGGATAGATCGCAGAATGAGAATGGAGATTTTCATTTTTCATCCCTCTCCTGTCTGGTCAGAGTTTGTTTATCTCTGTTGCATGTACAGCGACAATAAGGCAAAATAATGCATTTTTAATCAAACCTTAAGTGTTAATACAGTGGGGATCTTAGTTGAACAGGGTGCAAACAAAATAATAGAAGGAGTGAGAGAGAAAGAAGGGGAGGCAGAACGAGGGATAAGAGGTAAGAATAAGGCTAAGAATGGACAGGGATTAAAAAAATGGGGAGAGAACGGCAAGGTAAGGGAGCTGAGGCAGTGACAGAGAGTTAGGGGAAAACAGTGAGGCAGGCAGATGAGGCAGTGACAGAGAGTTAGGGGAAAACAGTGAGGCAGGCAGAAAGAGAGAAGGTCAGAGGGAGCGATGGGGAAATCACAGAAGAGGGAATAAGAACCTGCTGGAGAGATGGGGGAGGGCAGCTGAGGAGCACTGGAGGGAGACAGAGTGAGCGAGAGAGAGAGAGAGAGAGACAGACAAGGGTCAGGGGAAACAATTAGAGACAACAAAAGACAATGGAATGAGACAGCGAGAGACTGAAAGGGAAACGGTGGAAGTGGGGAAGTGTGGGGGAGCGTTGGATGTGGATAGAGAGGAAGAAGTGAAGAACGTGAGTGAGAAAGTGAGAGATAGAGAGTCTTATACCCCTGGTCTCAGCGAGAGATTGTCGATGGACATCTTTAACCTTTTCAGCAGGACGCAGAGGATGGAGATGAGGAGGAATATTTTTTCACAGACTGTTCTCAGAACTCGCTACAAAAAGCAGCAAAAGCAGAGAGCTTGAATATTCTTATGGCTGAAGTGAATCAACTCTCGCTAAGCAACAGCCTGAAAGGTTATGCGGGCAGTAGGCAAGAAAGTGGAGGTCAGATCAGTCAGAGTCAGAGCCATACAGCATGAAAACAGACCCTTCGGCCCAACCAGTCCCTGCCAAACATAATCCCAAATTAAACTAGTCCCACCTGCCTGCACCTGGCCCATATCCCTCCAAACCTTCCCTATTCATGCACTTATCTAAATGTCTTTTAAACGCTGTGACTGTACCCACATCCACCACTTCTTCAGGAAGTTCATTCCACACACAAACCACTCTCTGTGTAAAAACAATGCCCCACATGTCTTGTTTAAATCTTTCTCCTCTCACCTTAAAAATGGGTTCCCTAGTTTTGAAATTCCCCATCTTAGGGAAAAGACATCTGCCAACAACTCTATCTCATTATCTTATATACTTCTATCAGGTCACCCCTCAACCTCCTACAATCCGGTGAAAAATATCCCAGCCTATCCAGCCTCTCCTTATAACTCAAACCCTCCAAATCCAGTAACATCCTTCTGAACCCTCCAAGATCTTACTGAGTGGCAGAACAGGTTCAAGGGGCTGAATGGCCTCTGCTCCTAGTTCATAGGTTCGATGCCCAAGAGGTTCTTAGATCCACAGCAAACCTTTACAATCATTGGGTGATGCAGTCCTGAAGGTGGCCATTCAAACCCATCGCACCTCTGCTGGCTCTTCGTAAAGAACTGTCCAATGAATCAGCTCTTTCTCCTCTGAAGCTCTGTGATAGCCTCTCCTTCAAGGGTTTAACCAATCCCTTTTGGAAAGTTACGGTCTAATCTTTCCTCCAACCTATCTTTCAGGAAGCTCACTCCGGATCCCGGCTGCGATCGGGATCTGTTGGCCTCTGTCTGTTTCTGTCAAGCAGAGGCGGAGCCTCAGTGAAGTTACCTGAACATTATGTGGTCATTTCCATATTGTGCGAGGCTCCCAACTTGGTCGCCGTTAGCCAGTCCCCATCTCTGAGAGCCTCTCTTGCTGCGTGTCGCTCAAACCAATAGCGAGAAATTCAGGGGTGTTCACCACTTGACTCGCTGTGTGGGAGAAAGTGTCGGAGGAAATCAATCTTCATGCAGTTACAGCATCCGTTCATTCCCCCTTCCTCCAAACTCCTTACACTCCCCTCACTTTGAAAGGAGTAGGACTAGGAGTAGGCCATTCAGCCCATCGAGTCTGCCTCATCATTCAATGAGATCATGGCTGATCTCACTCATCCTCAAACTCCACTTTCCTGCCTTTTCCCTGGAACCCTCGTTCCCCTTATCAATCTATCTCAGCCTTTAACCTGTTTAATGACCAGCCTCGACAGCACTCTGAAAGGATTCCACAGATTCGCCAACTCTCTGAGAAAGTAAATTCCTCCCCAGCTCTGCCTTAAATGGGTGACCCCCTTACTCTGAGGTGATGCCCTCTAGTCCCAGACTCTCCCACAGGGGGAAATGACCTTTCTGCATCCACCCTGTCAAACCCCCTAACAATCTTGTATGTTCCAACAAGGTCACCTCTCATTCTTCTAAGCTCCAACGAATACAGAAGGGGCCCAAAGCCGAAACATTGTCGCCTGTTTTCCTGAAAGCCTTGCCCCGTCATTGGGTTTCACAGGGGTATTTGGTGGTATTTTGGGTCCCTGCATTTCCAGTTTGGGGACTGAGTGTCATTGGGCATTAAACCATTGGGTATGGGGGTCCAGTTCTGACTGGGCTAGGTAATAGTCCAAAAGAATCTCACAACACAGCTCCTTTCATCAACTGCATGGTGTTAAGAACTCACGGGAAATAAAAATGTGTCCACTTCACTCAGTGTTTTGGCTCTCGGTCTCTTGCAGGAGAGTCTCGGAGATTCACTTTCATTGCCCAGAAATTCTGGGGCAGTCCGGGAGGCAGGGAGAATTGGCAGTGATGGGGACGGTGTGTGTGTGTGTCTGTGTGTGTGAGTGTGTGTCTGTGTGTGTGAGTGTGTGTCTGTGTGTGTGAGTGTCTGTGTGTGTGTCTGTGTGTGTGTGTGTCTGTGTGTGTGTGTCTGTGTATGTGAGTGTGTGTGGGTGTGTGTGTCTGTGTGTGTGTATGTCTGTGTGCGTGTGTGTCTGTGTATGTGAGTGTGTGTGTGTGTGTGTGTGTGTCTGTGTG